CTCCATCAGTTTTGACGGTCATCTCCACCGTCTCCATCAGCTTCGATGGTCGCCTCCACCGCCTTCCACAGCTTTGCCGGTCGCCTTCCAGTAGGTAATGGAACCCCTTTTCTTCTTCATTATTACAKTTCAAAAGTGGGATTGTTGATTTGTGGTGATGGAATGCTGTTTACCCTCAACTTGACATAGAAATCGAAAAGGATTCTGAGAAGAAACAGAGGAACATTGCTAGTTCAATGGACCTTCATTAGAAATCGAAAGGGTTCTGCCTAAACTGATCTTGTAGAAATTTTGTTTATACACAGGGTTAAAATGGTAATTTGTTGTCATTCAGAGAACCGTTACCAAACAACATTATTTCATTCAGCTATTAACCATTCTGGCCCTCTTAACTATTCTGACCACTTAATCATTCTGCACCAAACCATTCAGCAACCGCCAAACAGCCCCTTAATTATATTTTAGATTTTTTATATTTTAAAATAAAATGTTTATCCTCTATTTGATTATGTTTATCCGCATTTAGTTATACGAACTCAAACACGGAGCTTTAATAAGTTGTACATACGCACAATTTACTTGTAATCTTAAATTTTAAGTAATATGCACCAATAAACAGTACTTTATGCATAAAAAATGGTTTTTAAGAGTTTTTGTCAAATGCTTTATAACATAATATAGATATTTGGATGAAAAATGTCATAGGCGGTACGAACTACAATTCATTATATTAACTTGTCCCTGTACTTCGATATTGGTAAATTGATTATCTTATTTTTCTTGTTAGCCTCGTTTTCAACTTAAATCTGTAAGTTTCTTTTATTAATGTTATTGGAACTCGTAAATCCAAAACCAAATCGTTATCATCTGACCATCATCTGCCAAGACCGTACAACAAACATAAATGCCCCCAATACTAATTATTTCCACCATCGCCCGACTCCATCAGCAAACAACCCTCCTTCATCAACCAGTGGCCCACCACCACATTACGGTGAACCATAAATTTAAAACACTAGTCTCCAATACATAAAGATCATATATAAAACTAAAAAAACTAATACAAAAGAGAAAGGGTGTCCCAAGTCTCAACTCAATATGACACTGGTTGAGACTGTTATGACTGTTAAACCAACCAACTCCTCAAAGATATCATGTATCATCATTGCAAACAATGGATTTTCCATATCTATATTAGTTACTTGACCAACGGAGATGAAACACTAAATCGGTTGCTCGTTGGCTGTTGCTCAGCATTGCACAATATGACGGCATTTTGGAGATGATATACATACGTCACAATGGTTCCCATCTTGATTTCTAGACTTCTACATGTTCCACCATGATTCCTCAATATGCCCCTTATTCTCACAAATGCATTTACTTTGAGTACCTAGCACCTCCAATAATGGAAGGATAAAGCTTATGAGGACCACCATAGCCCAAATTTGATAGTTGGTGTGACATTTTGTCTTCACTAGGAAACTACATCTCATGTAACTCGTGGTTAGTTGGAGGGTTGCAACAACCCTAATTTTTATAAAAATAAGGGCCTTTTAAATTACACTGCAAGTACAATCAATCGAAATCGAAACTGAAATTGAATATATGTTTAAGTTCAAAAGCTAGGATGATTGGTCCCTCAACTTAAAGGTAACAGTTATATAACATATTTCGAAAAGAGGAAGGCCCGTTTTATGAATCCCAAATGCTACAATATAAAATAGAACATAAGTGTTGGCCGTTCGTGAAACTAGTGCAATGATGTACGTATATCCAATTTGGTAAAGGTAGAAATTAGATTAACTATTATGATATGGTATGAATATGAAGAAAAAGGTTGACTATGGGCTTATATGATCAAAGGTTGAAGTCCAATTGCGCTAAGTTTCGTGTAAAACTTAGAGGAATAAAGCTAGTATCAAGGTTTATTTACAGTGATTCATGTTATAAAGAGATATTTTTTCTTTTAAAGTTACAGAGTTAGATGGTCAAACCGATGCTTTTTGTTTAAAGACGAGTAGTAACCATCGTAACAACGGTGGTGATTCTATGTCGTATTCATTTTATCACACTTTTGGTGTTTAAGGAATCTTATATACGGTAGCATCATTGAAGCATAATATAGATGTCAATACTAGCACAAGTTGATGCATTAGCTTACTATAAGTCGTTAATCATATGTTTCATGGTTGCACCCGAGAACCGTGTATGCATATATGTTGGTCCTAATTTTCTTCTCGCAAGATATTAGGCAACCAAAAGTACATTGGTATAAATTGTTTTAAAACTCAAGGAATTAAAGAATTAAATAGCCTTCTATCTTATTTAATCCCTTCTCCATTCGGTACCCATCACTTGCTAGAAGCTTGGTATCACTTTATTTTACAATGACAAACATCTCTCTGAACGTCGATCTTGACCTGACAATCTTCACATAAAATCAATGCCTTCGTTTTGAACTGAAGTAGACTTGACACTTTGTGTATAAGGGAATAATGTTTTATGTGTTTGTCTCACTTCCCTTGACTTTTATCGTTTTTCAAAAATTTAAAACCCTAAAAGTGGATTCATGCTTTCAAAGATGCAACTAGTTATTTTTAACCTTAGAGAGTAAAATTAAATCGAAAACGGGTTCCCCAATATTAAATGATAACATCAAAATAATAACTGAAGAACATCTTTTGAATTAACGCAAACAAATACTTTATATATATATATATATATATATATTTCAACAAATTCATAATATTCCTATCGAATCATAATTAACATTTGTTACTTAATAAGGTTGTCGGTGATCAACTCCTCAAATATTTATTATTTAACTTATATTTTAATCCAATTTCTTTAACTGAATTAAATTTAATTATGAATATTTGATTCTTAAATTAATATTAATTATGTTCTAATTATGATACATGTTATAATTAGTATTTAAATTAGACAAAAAATTAATTTTCAGTTAAAAATATCACATTAATTAAAAATCAAGAAAAACAAAAAAGTATTAACGATGAGATGAGATGAGATGAGATGAGATGAGATGAGATGAGATGAGATTAATCTTAAACCTAATCCATAAAAAATAAAATAAGAAACGTATCCAAAAGAAAGAAGTACTCCCAACTCCCAACTCCCAATCCTGGAGATGGAGTAGGACCCTATTCATGATGACTTATCATCCATCATCACATCAAATACATGCATGCATGCATGCATGCATGCATAAAGCTTTTAAGGAGATAAAAAATGAATGGAGTCGAATGGTATCATCAGATCTACAGGCCAAAAGAAGCCATTGGAGACCCCACAATCTCCAGACACAGGTATCACGGACTCAATCTCTTCTCTCTCATCTTCGTCTCCCTCGGGACCTTCAAACCCTAAGATTTCAAGACTTCTTTTAAAGGTCCAATCTTTAATTATGTAGTAATCATTTTCTAAAGGCAACACACTTTTATCAAATCACAGAGACACCAAGCAAACATCCCATAAATATTTTTACCCTTCTATCAAGCCCCATGTTTGGAATTATTTTATTGTTATGACTTTTGGTTTTTAATTAATACACCCATTATCATTTTTATATAACGGTTTTTTACTAATATTTTAATACAAAAGTGTTTTTTCTCATTTAAATTATTAGATAATAGTACGATATTCTTGAAAAAATTATTGAAGATGGTTATACTCATGTTCATTAATTATTAAGTATTGTCATTGAATTCGTACAAATTTATTTGCCATATTGTTTTAAGAGTACGTTTGTGTCGTTTGAAAACTCAAACATAATCGACGGTTGGATGAAATAATAGATAAGTGTGGTTTTATAATTTAAGACCCTAAATTGTAATAAATGAAGTTTTAACTGCTAAAACAATTCAAAAAGAATAAAAATAAAAATATATTTCAAATATCAATATTTCAAATTTTAAGTAATCATGCTATTGATATTACAAGTTGCAAAATCTATGTGTTTGAATAATTCAAACTTGGAATATGAAATGCATATATAAAATTCTAGAATATATATATATATATATATATATATATATATATGTGTGTGTGTATATAGAGAGAGAGAGATGAAAGAGGGATTGGTACCCAATTTTTGGATTCATACCACATTTCAAAACATTATATTGTTATTTTAATTATATGAGAATAATGTGATGATGACATTTTTAACCTATATTATGTGTACACATAAGTTTGTTAATCATTTCACCCATTTATTACAATAATAAAAAACTTAAAACATATCAGTATTTAAAATTTTACGAGTGATTACAGGTTTATATTTGAAAAAATCATTTTGTGGTCGATGATGTTATAATTGCATGTCTTAATTCAGAAATCAGTATTATCCAAAAAAATTGAAATTTAAATTGGTTATAAATGTTAGAATACTTACCGTGAAAATCATTTTTTGTATAAAATTTTATTTATAACAACGATTCTAAATCAATAATATTAATTAAACATGTTACCAAATCACCTTTTGTGCCATCCATTAATTGATTAAATTAAAATTTCTTGTATTAGTTAATGTAGGTGAATTTTAAACAATTTTAGGCCATTGAATTATATTCTCATGGTCTTCTAAAAAAATAAATAATAACTTCCCCTTCCCAAGCTATAGCTAGACTTTCTCTTGTTATGTGCATGTATACATGTGTAATTACATATATTAAATGCATTGAAAGGTACATGGTGTTGATAATAGGACTTTGAGGTGCGAAAACCTACAAATGACACACAACTCTACACATTCTGCTTACAAGCAGCTAACAGCCAATATACACACATGATATATATATATATATATATATACACACACACACACCCTCTGCCAGAGAGAGAGAGAGTGTGTGTCTGAGAGAGAAGAGAGAGAGAGGGGCAAGGGGGACCCAAGCAACTAAATCTATGGCTGACCGACTTTGAAAATAAGGGCTAAAGATAAAAGGATAGAAGACGAACAAAGAGTAAGCAAACTAAGCATCCACAAGGAGGAGAGAGAGAGAGATGAAATATTCTGTTTAGAGAGGTTGAAAGTATTGGGGTTTTCTTGTTTTTGGTGTTTTGTTAGTGATAAAAACACCAAAAAAACACAACAATTTAGTTATAAGTAAACTCCACCAGATCTCTCTTTCTGTCTGTAACAACAGTCTCTCTTTAGATTATTGCGGTTTTTGTTTGTTTGGTTGATTCAGCTTCTTCTTTCAGCTATCTTGTGTTTAAAAGTAAATTGTTTCTTAGTTCTTTTTTGGCACAATCCTACATATACTTCTCTTGGAAGTTTTGTTTGAATACATAAAACCAAAGTCTTTCTTGTGTTGTGTTGTGTTGCGTTTACTTACCTTCGTTTTTGTTTTCTAGTTTTGTTTTCAAAATCTTGTGGTTTGTTTTTCAAGTGCTTGCTAAACTACAAGCAAAGCTTTCAATCTTAATCTTAACTGAAAAGGCAACAAAAAGTTTTGAGGATATGATGTCTGGTCAGATGTTTCCTCTTCCTCTTCAAGATCATCACCATCATCACCATCAACCACCGCCATCAGCAGCAGCTCATGAAGCAAACCCTAATCCAAAACCCCTCTCCAATATCAAGAAGAAGAGAAATTTACCAGGCACCCCAGGTATGAAAACATATATCATCTTCTGTGTGTTTGTCAGTGTATTTCTGCCATTCCTTTTTCTTTCCACATGCATAAACATACACACATGTATGCATATAAATGTTTCAAGATTGCTTGTTTTTTTGTGAAGTTAGTATTGTTTGGCTCAATTAATTAATGAATATGAAGTTTGGGATGGCAAAAATGACTTGAATTCGAATGTCATAGTATCAATACAATTGAATTATGAAAGATGAATCGACGAGTCAATCAAAAATAATTAAGCTCTTGGACTTATTTGATTTTTTTAAAAAGTATGAACTGATTACTCAATCATCGGAGACTAAAGGGGTCCGTTTTATTTTGGAAATACTGTCTCTTTCTATTTTGAGTGTTAATCCAAAAACATTTTGGATCCATTTTCTTGGGGCTTGACTAGTATAATTAATTCAATCAATTTAATTTGTCAAAAGAGTTCATTTTTGGTGTTGATGTGATTAATCAGTTTTCAAATATTCTGCTTAATTATAATTTTGATTAAAAATCTAAACAGATCCAGATGCTGAAGTGATGGCACTTTCACCAAAATCACTGATGGCAACAAACCGATTTGTATGTGAAATCTGCAACAAAGGCTTCCAAAGAGACCAAAACCTGCAACTTCATCGGAGAGGTCACAATCTGCCTTGGAAGCTGAAGCAAAGGAACAACAAAGAACCCATCAAGAAGAAAGTCTACATTTGCCCAGAAAAATCTTGCGTCCATCACGATCCGTCTCGAGCACTTGGAGATCTCACCGGAATCAAGAAACATTTTAGCCGGAAGCATGGTGAGAAGAAGTGGAAGTGTGAAAAGTGTTCCAAGAAGTATGCAGTTCAATCTGACTGGAAAGCTCATTCCAAGACTTGTGGTACCAGAGAGTACAAGTGTGACTGTGGCACACTTTTCTCCAGGTGTGTTTTACTTATTAATTTCTTGAGAATCTTGGTTTTGTTTTGTTCCAAATCTTGAAATGAATGCTTGGAATTTAATGCATTTCTTCATTAAATGTGACTGATTTTGGAATGATGTTTATGTTTTATGTTTCTATTTTTGTTCAGGAAGGATAGTTTCATTACTCATCGGGCTTTTTGTGATGCATTGGCCGAAGAAAGTGTGAGACTCAATTCAGTGACATCGAATAGCCTCGGCTTGAAAAACGAAGGTTTGAACGAATCGGTGATAAACCCTAACCACCATCCTAGTTTCTCTCATGGGTTTTCTGGGATCACGCAATTCGGGTCTGGTTTCCGGCCTGATTTTGGGGATCAAAACAAGCCAAGATTGTCACTTTGGCTAGACCAAGCAAATTCCCAACTCAATCTTTCTCCAATAGATCAAATGTCAATGAACTCGAATCTTTACATGTCATCAAGCTCCGCAGGTTTAGCCGATATGGTTAATGTGTTTGGAAATTCATCTTCAATGGGAAATTTCACAAACCCCCACCAAGTGCCAAGTCTATCATTAACACCATTGACAGAAGGTCTAAAAGATGAAACCCTAGCTTCTATGTACTCAATAAACCAAACACATCAATCCCAATCCGAATCCACGGGTCCAATGTCAGCCACCGCACTCCTTCAGAAAGCGGCTCAAATGGGTTCAACCAGGAGCAACCCATCGATCTTTGGATCAAGTTTTGGGCTCATGAACTCCTCCTCCACTGCATCAAACACTGCAGTCAGTTTGGTGAACAACACCATGACTCCTCTCCCTCACATCACCGCTCAACTGCAAGTCTCGACTGCAATGAACAACAATTCATCGAATTCAAGTCCCCAAGGGAGCAATATCGACCACCAACAAATGATTATGCCAAGGAACGAAACGATGCCACGATTGAAGATGATGCAGCGGAGCTTTAGCGGAGTCGACAACGGATTAACAAGAGATTTCTTGGGTATGGGTGGAGAAGGTGGCCGGCCATTGTTGCCACAAGATCTAGTGAAGTTTGCATCTTATGGCTCGACCATGGGATCAATGAGGCAATTCGCTACCAATAATTAGATGTCTTAATTATGTTGCTTAATTAATTTGTATGTCTCAATTATCATGCGTGCTTAATGTAGCATAATAATATGTATTTATAGACTTCATTTTTGTCAATGTTTGCACACACAAAAAAAAAAAACACTTTTTACTTTCTTGTTCATGTCAATAGAGAAATTTATCAATGAGTTTTTATAATAAAAAGAAATAATAAATTATTTTTTATAAGATGCGAATTATATATTAAATTAATCTATGAATTAAAATATATTATAATTTTAATTTTCAGCGCCCTGTCTAAAAAAGATTTTGATTGTACAAAAACATCTTTTTATCAGTCTTGAAACAAGTTACTTTTTTTCTATCAAAATTGTGGAGAATTATTACTTGGGAGTCGAAAATACAAGTCAATGACACCAATTTTGAAGTTTAAATTTTAAAATAAATATAATTATGAAAAATGGACATAAAAATAATTTATAATTTGGACTTTTTCACTTGCATATTCTTTTGGTTGTTAAACAAATACAATGTCTTACGAGACGTATAAATCGACAAAAGTATTTTATTAACGATAAAATAAATCAAAAATTTTCACAAAATCAAAGTCATTTTAGTTAGTATTTAATAATAAATAAATATGCAAACTGAAATTGAATCTTGCTCGTCTTTTTCTTCTGACTGTTTGTATCATTAATATTATTTAAGTGTAATAGAATTAATTTATTGATCAATGTAATCATGATAAATATCGAACAAGTAAAGAAGGTGCGGAATGCACACTTATTTGAGTTTATTTTGATTTATGGGCGAAGCCCCTAAACAACAGGGGTCCGAGGGCAACGCCCCCGATGGCGGGGTCCAAGGACAGAGCCCCTGGTTGGGGTCGAAATCCGAGTAATATTGCTTTGTGAAAAATGTATCAGAAATCCGGATTTTAAATTTTAAACCCGGTTTTTGGCCTGGTTCTTTAAACCCGGTTTAGGGTTCAAAAAACTGTCGTTTTGACAGTTTCTGTATTCAATTTTTGGATTGGTCATTTTCGTCTTGAGAGGTACACAGATTCATGACAATTTTTGGATTCTCAGTTCTGTCAACCACTGAATTTTATCTGATTGAGATTTCAATTGTACTGTCGAAATACTTCAATCTGAATGTGATATACGACTTTTTGTGGATTCCAAGCAATTGAAAAACCCAAAATTTCTAACAGTATTTGTTTATCGTTACAATAAGAATCCTCCATGATATTAAATGGGTTGGCTTGGTTTGTAATAATGAATTGGATTTATTTGGAATTTAATTTAATTTGAATCCCATCAAATAACATTTTAAGAGGATGGTTGATATTTAATAGGATTCCCGTAACATTTACATTTTAAAATTAGTTTTTTTAATAACATATTTTTATAAAATATATACCATGAAAACATATGCTTTTTGCGAGTATTGACGAATGTCTGGAAATAGAGTAGAAATTTAAATGGGAGTTTGTGAAAAGGAAGGTGGGTCCGGGTCAGAATTATTGTGGGACCCAGGATGTGATGGAAATGGACTAAACCAAACAAAAGTCATTCTCAGTCTCATGTCCCATGGGGGATGCTTTTTTGTATTTCTTTTTGTTTTTCTTCATGTCGTGTGTTGTTTATCTTTTACCAAGAGAAATATCTTTTTTTTTTTATTATTTTTTTTTAATATTTAATTTCTCGCTCACCCAAAAAGTCAAACTAAAATTCTTGAAGCTGTTTTAGTCAACGTTTGTGGGATGTTTAAAAAGTGTCTTTGCGTTTAACTTTTGGGTTATGTATTGTGCGATACTTGTTTTGGCAAACCCATAATTTACCAAAAATTAAGTATTGTTTTCTTAACATATTCTAAACTCTTTAACAATTATATATGTTTTAACATGTAATAAAAGTTTAAATGCGTATATTTGATCAAATAATCATATACAAATATATACAAATATATATATATATACTAAGCGATCAAATACAAACCAAATCATTTATATAAATCGTACACATAATATCAATTTCATTCTAGAGGTAATTAATCTATAGACATGAAATTAAAAATATCAATGTTTTAAGTTTTTTTAACGTTTTTTACCGTAACTTTTTTTTTTTACCCTGTAATGTGTTGTAAAAGTAAAATAATTAGCTTGTATGAATTGCTTTTCATATTTCAGCTTTTGGTCCCGATTACCAATTTTTTATTTTTATTTTATTTTGCTTCTCCTCATGTGTCAACTCCAAGAAAGTAAAAAAGTTGGTCTTTTTTACCCAAATTAAGGTTAAATTATTATTTTATTCTTTTGTATTTTTTTATCCAAAAATGAATTACTAAATCTCTTTTATTAAATTATAGTTTGAGATCAAATGCCTTAGTTGGTTATTGCCCAATGACCACAAAAAAATCGTTACTATGTAGACCTGACATGTACCATACTTGATACGGGAATATCGTAATTAAGTGTTTTTTCGAGGTAAATCTTCATCTTCGTATCTTCTATTTTCAGGTATCGAAACAAACGTTTATACCTGGATTTCGAGAATAATTAGGAAAGATTGCCTTTCGAGAATATATGCATTTACTTGATGTGCGATTATATCTTATCAGTATGTGTAATGATAACTTCCATATAAAAATATAGAAATTAAGTTTTTTTTAATTTAAAGAAAATAATATAAAAGGATGAGTCGGCCTACAAGTTTAGGGCACTATTTGTGGGTTCGTGAAAATGTTTGATTGACTTTCCAATGCACTTTTGAGTAGTACTTTGCCCTATAGTTGTAGGTCAATATCTAACCATTATTATAAAATATATATATATATATATATATATATGATAGAAATGGTATTTTAATTTTTGAAATTTATTCAACTTAATTAAATCAATTTGCTTTGGTACTTGTTAATATGAACCCACCTATCAAGGATTTCCATTTTACCTTTTTGCCCTTTCTAAAAGGTTCCCTTTTTCAAGACTTGGATCCAAGGAAAGGAAAGGAACCATCTCCCACTAAATCAATTTAATTTAATTTAATTTAATTTAATAGATTATATTTATTTTAAAAATATATACAATGTCTACATGCTTCTTGTAAGGATATGATTTGGAGTTATTCGTATGGGACTTAAAAAGCCTGAAACAAGTAATATTTGAATCAAAGAAACCCAAATACATTTGATTATATATTCTATTAAGTATATATGATATGTTAAGAATCAAGTGTCTGAGATATATGTTAATGAGTACATAGTAATGGTTTTGCGTAACATAAAGCTGTAATAAATAATGCGTGTTGATGTATGTAGCATCGTGAAAGTATTACTTAACGGTTAATAGATGTAACACCTATGTTCCGTGTGGTTAAAGACGGGATATGTCACAATTGGTTTTAAAAAATCATTGCATTATATAAAACAGATAAGCTAATAAAATTTACCAAAAGATAATTACATAACCACAAACAAAGATAATGTGTCTCAAAATACGTTCCCAAATTACCGGTATATCTACATTAGTCATCAAAAGTTAACAAAAGTATGACGTAATGGGTTATCTTCAGTATTGTCATCTTCGTAGCTCTCACTCCAAAATCTCTGCTAAGTCATGTACCTGCTGAGGACAAGAAAATCCTGACTGAGCTTAATGCGCAGTGAACGGATAATAATAACTAAACAATGAATATGAGATAACAAGTTCAAAAGCAATTTATAACGTTAAGTGATCATCCAAAGAAAGTCAAAATTCCCCGAAGGCATGTCAAGGGTCTGAAACTACATCACGAGGACGCGTTGTTTCCAAAGGATGATCAGTCCTTTCGGGCATGAGTGAGAAAAGGGGTGAGAGCACAACAAAAAAATCCGATAACGGTTTTTAGGATCGATCCATGCGCTCTCTATTCGACCGGTACATAATCAAGTTCACCTTTAAGGACCATATAAGTGAGGATGTAATGATTGTTTTAACCATTGAAACATCTCAATACCGGTTCCCCCCAATATTGAGTCTATAGTAAAATGGCTCACAAATGATGCAAGCTAACAAGTCAAATGATCAAAATGATCTATGTTCTAAATAAAAATGTATATCATATTTTGAAAGGAAACAAAAGCTCAATAGCAATTGATGAGCACAATGAGAATTTGGGACCAATGTATTCGGATTAAGAAGTCTTATACAAATGGCTATCCCCGTGTCAAGTAATGTATGAAATCCGTACCCTAACCTAGTTTGACAATTAAAGCACGATCAAACGAAAATTCACGATCAAGTTTGACTTGATCGCGTGCCTAACGAATGCATAAACGAGTTACTATTTACAAATCATAAAAAGTATAACATAATTATTCTAATAAAATTAATCATGCCTTAATGTACTTAAACAATGTAGACTTCAAGAGGGACAGCCGGATACGAATTGAAAACTCAAACGTAAAACTTAGTCTTATGTTCTTTCGATCCAATTGACCAAAACCTTCTTTTCTTAACAACCTAAATTAATAGATTCTAGACCATAATATAACTTATTAGAGTTTGGGTCAAATAACAATGAATTTTAAAACTTGAAATAAATTAATTTCATGCAAAAATGAAATAAATAAAAACACAGGGACCAAAACTGTCAATAATCGAAAGTGCAGCCATAACACAGGGATCCGGATGTATGACCCATTTCAGCCCAGCTCTTTTAATAAAAACTAGTGTGGTAACCCCGTATTATACGTTGTAGCATGAGTATTTTAGTTAATGATTCGAAAATATAAATATATGTTAGTTATTAATAAAATAATCAATAAATAGTATTTAAATAATTCAAAAAAATTAATAAAATCTAATTAATGAAATTCTAATACACACACACACATATATATATATATATATAGAGAGAGAGAGAGAGATTTGTTTAGAAATAAAGATATAGAATTAAATAAAATGAGTAATAATATTTTTTTTGTAGATAAGAGCTAAAATTAGGTAATAAAAGTTTGAATAAATAAAGAACGGTGTAAACATACCAAAGAAAGAAAGTTGTTAACAGGAATGAAGAAATTTGAAAAGAAATAAAGCAAAGATGTAAGTTTCAGTTTGGATGTTGTTGGTGGTGTGCATCAAAAATTGTACTTTATGCATGTGAAGTTGTAATAAAAAGATTTTTGAAATTTATGCATAGAAGGGTAGTACATTGGGCTTTATAGGTTGCGTTTAAAACTTTTGGTCTAAATGCTTATTAATGTAGCATAGATATACATATATCTGTGTGTGTGTTTGAGGGGGGATAATAAATTGATAATCAAATGAGAACGACAAAAATGTTACAAATTTATAAGAATTGATATAAAATAATAATTTTTTGCATTATGTTTTTCATCAGAAACTATGATTTAAGATATTATTTTTATATATTTTTGTGTTCACTCTATAAAAAAATTACATGTGATTTTTTTTGTTCACTTACACCATCTCCAACCAACACTAAAACCCAAAAAAAAAACAAGGATAAAAACGTTGGTCCATATTTGAAGATCAACAAATTAAGTCTCTATAATCAAATATTAATATTTTATTTAATTTTTATAATTATATATATATATATATTGATTAATAGTTTAATACATTAAGTAATATTTTTTTAATTAAGTTTATAATTTAGTTATTTTGTGTTTGCAAATTGTAAATTATATTTAAATAATTATTTTGTTTTATTAAAAATTAAAATTAGTATAAACTAAAATATGAATAATATTATATTCAACAAAATGAAATTTAAACATTACATTTGTATGAATGTTTTAAAAAACATAATCGATTGTTTTTCTTGATAGCAATTATGCTGAAGAAGTTGAATAGTTGATAGGTTAAACCAAAAAAAATATCATTCATTATGAAACATACAATTTGTCTATAGGGGCATAAAAATCTTCAACTTAATTAGTATTTTAAAAACTAAAAAAGGAAGATAAAAGATAAAAGAGTTCATAGCCTTTAAAAGAGGTCATGTCATACATAATAGTTTCCCCTTTTATATACTGAGGAGCGATCAATTGCAAATCACACTCATTTGTGAAAACCTTACAAACATCTCATTCATCAATTTTTTTTTATCAATGGTCAAGATTAAATGTGTTTATATTAGAAAATAGAAAAGAAAATAAAAATAAAAATTTAATTTTTAATTAAAAAAAGGGCAAAAATTGTCAAAATTTTAATTTGTATGATTTTGTAAACGAGATAACAATATCGTGGATATCCTAACATTAATGAAACAAAATCATTGTTTTGAAATCTCTATATATCATTTTATCATTACAAATATTTTAACCAAAAATGTTAGAATAATCTGACAAATTATATGTTTGATGAAAACTATCTTCATTTTATGATTAAATATTATAAATAAAATAACATTAAAGTAAGGAGCAATGAAACTAGGTATATCCTAATAAATTATAAAATATAAAAACATACTTTAATCAACAAAAAATAATGAAACCTTTTGAATACTAAATGAAATATCTTGTTTCATTAAATGAATGAATTAGATTGTTTCACCGTTTATGTTATGAACTCATGTAACTCTTTGTCACCTACAATGAAAGATGGACCATTTGACATGTAGTAGTGAACGATATATGAAACTATTTCATTAACAATTATTGAGGTAGGATTGGACTCTTAATAATTTATAATCAAACTAATTTTAAAACAAGAGATATTCTAATAAACGATGAAACATATAAAAAATGAAACATTTTTTAAAATTGAATGAAATATTTTGAAAACTGAATACTTTATTTTCGCAAGTGAAACTTTTTTCATGCATAAAACGTTTCGAAATATTAATAAATTAAATTCATCAGTAAAATTGTGTTCATGGTCACTATTGACCATAACATTCGTTTCATTACTCAAACTACATATATTTTTTCAAATGAAACGAAATCAGATTTCATATTGTAGTGTTTTTACAATTCATATTTTAATAAGTATAACTTAATAAAATAATAAAAACTATTAATGGTAAAAAAATTATATTAAGAAAAAGTGATTTACCACCTTCTATATTTAATGTTTCTATTATTACGTTTCCATAATTAAGAGTAATTATTACCTTCTAATATTAACCAGTATACAATCAAATGACCATTATACCCTTATTTGTTAAAATTAACGAAAAAAACAGAATATTCCTATTGGTCGAAAATGGTTTGCATAGTTTTTATGAACTGGACGGTTTGTAATGTAACTCTCTCTCTCTCTATCTCTCTGTATATATATATATATATATATATATATATATATATATATATATATATATTTTATATATTTATATATTTCTTTTCTTAAAATCTTACATTTCACTCATTTGTCATTCATGAAATTAAAACAGACTAAATTTATATTTATTTATTCAAATTCATACTCCTTATCTGATAATGCGCATTCATATCATTGATGAACAAAGATGAGACGTGTGATATTGAAACATCCGAATTGTATTCCCATTTTTCTTCTTCTTAACCCATCAACATGGTGAATCGGATATGCAATAGACTAGGGCTGATTTCATTCAGAATTCAACCCTCTCTAATACATATTTGTACGAGACTTGCATTAATATACTTTGGTTTTAGTATTACCCAATAATTTAAATAATTATTTTGAACATATTTTTGTTTTAAGTTTCAGGTTTTTATACGATACCTATTTTGACACTTAAACTTAAAATTAAGACCTAATTTGCTATTGTTGATGCATATATCTCAACAATCATTAAATCAATCAAGCCTATTAATTTAATTCAAACAAAAGTCAAGATGATTATACCCAATCAAGCTTAAACTTGTTCCTCGAGTCTTTTTTGAACATAGTTTTCTCACCTTAAAGCTTGATGGTTCGTGAAACCAACTGGTTAACAATGATCGATTAAGAGATGGCTAGCTATACACGGAAGAACGTTCCAGGAGGAGCTTCATATCATCTATCAACTAACATGTATCTCAAGGTAGCTCAAATGGTAAGTTTTTATATATGCTCGTTGGATTTCCAATTTAAGTCCCCCAAGAGACCACCAGAGTACATGTAGAGAATGTTTTATATAAACCATAATTCTGACAAAATATTCAAACCATACCAACGCTTATATTATATTAAGAAACAATCGAAATATTTATAAACAATAATCATGATTCATTCACTATGTCGAGATATTTATGAAAGATGACAAAAGTTGATTCATTATGATCATGACTTTGGATTATGAAACCATATATTTATTAGAATAGATGGATGGTTAAGATTTATTTGTATATTTTATAATAATTACAATGATTTTTATTTGAAATTTCTTACATACATATATTTATTTCATCACAAATATACATTTATTTTCAATTATTTTATTTATAATTTTCCTATAAACTAAGTATTAAAGAAGCTAAGAATGACCGATTTTTAATGGCTAGAAGGGTACTCATGTACACAGTGAGATACATCTCAATTTTAACGTTTCATTTTATTCTGTCTATGTCGTTATAATACGGTTTTATGTGGTTTTGAGAATACGACAATGTTTTTATTTTGAATAAAATATAAATTTGAAGATATCATAAAAAAATTTAAAAAATCGATATTAGTATCAAATTAAGTATTTAAAAGTTTCATTTTTCTGTATAATTTTTTTAATTCAATTTTTTTTATTATAATTTAATTTAGAAATAACAAAGTAATTTATTTTTAATTTAATAATATAATTTTTTATAAAGATAATAGTTAAGTCTTCTGCTGGAACTCAATGATTATCCTAACTATATTTTAATTTTTTCATATTTAAAAATAAGATATTTATCATGTATTTGATTATGTTTATCTGTAATTTGTTACACAAATTTAGATATAGAACTTTAATAAGTTATAATTACGCACAATTTATTTGTAATATTAAATTTTAAGTAATATACATCAATAAACAATACTTCATGGTTTTTAAAAGTTTTTAATAAATATTTTATAATATAGTATAGATTATTTTAAATATGATAACTAAAATCACTTACGTAATCGATTATTTTAATGGGCCCAATTTGCTGAAAAACCAAAACATCAACTCAACTTGCGACTTAAGGCCTTAGGGGAGGGCTATGAACATGGGCCTGCTGAGCTTGTACTTGTAGTGTAGAGTGTAGACTGTAGGATGATAATACATTTTAATTTTATTATATAATTATTTTTTTGTTTGAAGATAAAGTTAATTTTATTTATTATCCTGCGTGGCAATCATTGTTTTGGTCAGCCAATGGTTTTCCAAATGAGTTACACATGTGACTCTCTGATTGGTTAGGCTAACGTGGAATGACATTCCAATCCTTGCAACACATCAACCCCTCCAAAAACACATAGAACAGAGAATCCTCCTTCGAATCATCCCACGTATTGGATTCGAAGCTACATACACACAGTACTGCGATCATGAAGATATTGAAAATGGTGTCAGCCATGGATTTGGTAGCATGGAGAGGCTTCTTCTACTCTATATTCATACTTCACTTCGTCTTCGCCTGCCAACTCCTTCTGCTCCAACCACTCGTTTCTGCCCTAGGTACTTTGCTGCTTCATTTTTTTGATTTGTCTGATTTGGTGTTTGCGATTGGAGTTTATTTTTAAATCAGATCACGGTTGGACTTCTGCTGTGTTCTGATTGAGATATAATATGAGATCATCTAGTTACTGACACGTTCCTTGAAAGTTAGTACTTCTTTGTATGTTAAGTATACTAATGTAGTATTTTGGGGAACGAAAGTTTCGATTTCGGAATTGGTGATTTGGAGGTGTAGTTCAAAATTTTGAATTGATTCTGTTCGTTTTGGGATTTCAAGCCCTGGAATTAGAGCACGCTTATTGTGTCATTTTTAGCTGCGAAATTGAGTACGAGTGAATAAAGTGGATTCATTGTTTTATTTATGGGTTGTTAATCTTTCTAGTATCGGATACTCGATTAGGTTTTTAGATCTCCTGCCCTTTGTAAATAAGTATTTAGCTTTCTTACAAAACGGGTTTTGACATTTGTAAGAACCATTTTCGCGAATGTAAATGTTACCAATTCTTTTTTGATGGAATGAGGTTCAATACAGACAGCCCTTCACTTGAATACACTTGATTACAAACGCAAAGGCGTTTGGATCCATGCACAGTTGACTAGTTGAGCGTGGCTATGGCCTGCCACACCTGTAAATTTTGGGAGTTGAATAATGGTGCTTTGAGTTGCTTGAGTTGATTCTTATTAGCTGCCATATGTGATTTGTCTGGTCTTGTGCTCCTCAGCTGAAACCGTGTGATGTATTGTTCACTTTTATGTTATGGCCATGCAGATGGAAAATCTGGTGATACTGCTGAGTTGTTTGAGAGGGTTTCACATAGTATAAAAGTGAAACGTTATAGCGAGGCAATCAATGATCTTAATGCCGCCATAGAAGCTGATCCGTCACTTTCAGAAGCATACTGGCGGCGGGCTTCAGTTCTTCGTCAGTTGGGCAGGTTCGTGTTTGAGCTTTGAGTTCATAAAATATAATATTCCTCGCAGAAATTCAAATTATGTTGTTTTGCCATCTTATGAGAACAAGAATCCTGGTCCCGTTGTATGTTAACGAAGGGAGGAAGAAACCTGGCATTTTAGCTCATGTGTGGTGGATTAGATGTTGGGAAAAACTATATAGACCTTCTGGATATTGTTTGATGTTGCTGACTTGAGGAAACATATCATTACAAACCTTCCCCATGATCCAACATTTCATTTATCTTCTCTAAATCGAAGGGTCCATCGCTTAGTTCTCATTTGTTTTCTGCCACATTGCTTCTCATGGTTTGCTATTTCGTGGAACACCACATGACAGTCTTTTGGGATCGGTATGCTTTACCCATCAGCAACTTAGTGAAGACTCTGGCCTTGGTGATGGATCCTCAATTCAATGATATTGGGTTGATTTTTTGGGGATTGCATCTTTAATTGTTGCAATGAGTCTAAATCAACGCAATGTTGCTTATCCTCTTCATTTGGATAAATATGGGACTAGTCATTCTTATTAGACATTTTTTTGTGATAAGAATTAAAATAAATATCAGATAGCTTAGTGAGCCAACCTACAGCTACCTCCCCACATCCCTAGATCAAATTTAAAAATTATCATCCCATAGCATCCTTGCTGTTATCTTCCCCAAAGCTTCATTTGCACATCATGTCAAGATTATCATTAAATAATGTTGGTTATTAGTTATAACTTTTATATGGTCTCTTCCTATTAAATTGGAGATCCTCTATGTTTTATTTTTTTCAAATCTTTCCTTGTGAATTCAGTTCCATTTTCACTGTACGATCCACCCTCCAAGTATGGACGTCCTTGTAGAGATGTTCAATGTTATATTGCAAGGACTCTCCTCCAACCCTGTCTAGAAAAACCAAATAGTTGCACGGAACTAGGGATTCTCTTGTTTGCTCTTTTTCAAAGAAAAAGGATCCACTTGTTTGCTCATTGGAAAATGTATGTGGTGGTTAGTAAGGGGAAGGGAGCAAGTATAGTATTAGAAGGTAAATATTACTGTCTATGTGTTCCTCCCCATTTCTATGATTCTGCTTATCTTGCATCATTCATTGTTAAATTTTGTCACCCTTTGTTTCTATATATTTCTTAAGAACAACTAAAACTATACATAACTTCACATAGTTCCTGATTGGAAACATATATGATTCAGGCGATTTTTGGCTAATGTAGATATGAGGAATCTGAGAAGAGCTACAAAAAGTTTCTTGAAATGAAACCTGGAAATTCAGTTGTTGAGAAGGAGCTTTCTCAATTGCATCAAGCATGGAGTGCTTTAGATACAGCCAGCAATCTCTTCGATTCAGGCGATTATATAAAAGCTTTGGATTTCATTGATAAGGTGGTACTTATTTTTTCTCCTGCATGCTCACAGGTACCAATTGGAACACTCTTAACATTATGCAATAATCATAGCCTATTTGTTTCTTTTTCTGCATTTCCTTGTATTTACTTCTTACATTTTTGTTCGAGTTGCAGGCCAAACTACTAAAGGTGAAGTTATTACTAGCTGCTAAGGATTATGCAGGGGTCATATCAGAGGCAGGATATATACTTAAAGAGGATGAGGATAATCTAGAGGCATTACTGCTCCGTGGTCGTGCCTATTATTATTTAGCTGATCATGATGTTGCTACAAGGTGTTCTTTACTACACATTATCTGAAACATAAATGAAATTGAATAGAAAATGGATAAGACGGTAACTTCTTTAGCTTTATAAGATTTCGTAAAATATTTAATATCATTCTTTTCTCAGACATTACCAGAAAGGGCTCCGCCTTGATCCAGAGCACAGTGAATTGAAGAAAGCATATTTTGGGTTGAAGAATCTACTAAAAAAGACAAAAAATGTAATCCCATTTGGTGATTATCAGTTAATCAGGTCTATATCCTGGTCTGACTTTTGTCCCAAAAACTTCTTTTTTGCAGGCAGAAGAAAATGAAAAGAAGGGCAAGCTGCGTGTTGCTGTGGAGGACTACAAGGCAGCCCTTGCTTTAGACCCTGATCATTTGGCTCACAATGTGCATCTCCATTTTGGGTTGTGTAAGCTTTTGGTTAAGCTTGGTAGAGGAAAGGATGCCCTCAATGCTTGCACACAAGTTCTCACCATTGATGAAGAGAATGTTGAAGCTTTGGTTCAGGTCCCGTTCGTTAATGTCTCAATCTCAATATACAAGATGTAGAAAACTTAATCTGAATGTTCTTTGCCTAACTAGTATAGCTTATTTGAAATGCTATAATTCGACTGATTTGAATCCATTTTTCTCAGAGAGGTGAAGCCAAGTTATTGACAGAAGATTGGGAAGGAGCTGTTGCAGATATGAAGTCGGCTGCAGAAAAATCTCCACAGGTTAGATATGATTTGACATTTCTACTTTGAACCCATTTTATCCATGTTTTTGTAACGATTGTTATTGGCATGTGAATTTTGAAGGACATGAGCATTCGGGAAGCCGTTATGAAGGCTGAGAAAGCTTTGAAATTAAGCCAACGGAAGGATTGGTACAAGATTTTGGGTGTTTCAAAGACTGCATCCATATCAGAGATCAAACGAGCTTATAAAAAACTAGCCTTGCAATGGCACCCGGATAAGAACGTCGACAATAGAGAAGAAGCAGAGAACAAATTTCGAGAAATAGCTGCTGCATATGAGGTTCTTTCTCCACCCTTCATCTTCTTGCATTTTCACTTGAGGAAATTGTTTGATCGTTTAAATCATGAATCTTAATTACAGATCCTTGGCGACGATGACAAGCGTATAAAATACGATAACGGGGAAGACATCGAGGAGGGCATGAATATGGGTGGTGGTGGTGGGTTTAACCCTTTCGGTGCAGGTGGTTTTGGTGGCGGTGGTGGTTACACATTTCATTTTGAAGGAGGCTTTCCTGGTGGTGGATTCGGCGGTTTCCACATGTAACTTATGGGTTTTGTACTTTCTTGGTCGCTTCCCATCAACAGGCCATCGATACAACTAACTTACCCCGGGTTAATAGCAGAAGAATGTCGTAGGAAATTGATATTTCGGTTATGATGATTCCTTGTTTCTTTTGTTAAAATATGCAATCAACGACCACAGACATGTTGAGTTTGTTAGGTATTTTTGTTGTGATATTATACGAAATCGCGAGGCTTGAATCAGAGGAGTTGTTATCAGGTTTTCCAGCCAATCTACAAGATTGTGGATTTTGATACATTCGATTTCATCTGTAGTTTGGTTTTCATCGTCTCGTTCTTAAAATGCAGACTCCATTGAACCAATACTCAAGATATCCTTAGAATATGCCAAGTAATGGGATTCTATACAATCTCAGCTTTTGGTCATAAATAAGCAACAATGACTACAAATTTTCTAACTTAAGGAGCTTGTGCAGAAACAAGCGAACCCGTTACGTTCCAGATTGTTGATCCGAGGCTCTGGCTTGATCTCTTTGAAGGTCAGGTGCATGGCCAGTTTCTGTAGGCTGCTGAGGCTGTATTGCCTCCATTGAACCATCTTGCTGGTGAAGCTGGTCTTGTGGTACATCAGCTGGTTCTGAAGATTCTTGAGGCTGTCTGGTTTCTGGGGTCCCCTGAGGCTGGTTTGACCGGTCATGCCAACTTCTCCTCCATTTCAAGAATTCATAAATGATCGAAGTTGCACACATTGCACCACCGAAACCAGCAAATGTAGCAAGCAAAACTGATAGAACCCCTTGCACATGAAGCTGCAAATTTTGCACATTTTAAAGGATTAAATAGAAATATCTGATGCTAAAACTTGCGACCTTCATATCACAATTCTAGAATTTCAAATATTAAACAGCTGCTGATTTCTGCATTGAAATCGCTTACCGTTGAGTAGAAAACATGTGCAAAGCCAACCACTAGAGCGAACTGGATGAATGCGTAAATCCATGCATACCGTCTCTTCACTGGACATAAATTGCAGAACTTTAATTCCATTGAATTATTCGACTATCCAAATGTTGCAATCTTTTGGGATTGAACGAAAAAGTGAAATTGACGAAAATACCCATTGTTGTTGATGTCATTGATGCAAGGAGACCCAATATGCAAGAAAAAGGCAGAGATATAGCAATTGCACCAGAACCCATTTTTGTTACCTTTTCCAAAAAGAGATCAATCAGGATCACTGATAAGCTTTAAAAAGATAAGATTTAGGGTTCTTGACATACCAAAAGTTGCTCCAAGAAACAAAAGTAAGCAAGCATGCTCACAATCACAAGAACAGGTACATCCTGCCACACCCTGATACACCCTTTCGCCTCATTAGTTACACATACATACATACATATACATACACACATATATATATATATATATATATATATATATATCCAAGAATCATGTGTTTTTATGTGTTAGAAATGTTACCTGTATCGAGGAACTTCATACTGATGCATAGCTCCATTTGCACGCATAACACGGCTTTGAGATCTCTGAATTCGTAAAAGAGTAACAGGTAGGTTCTTAACTTCTTGCTTGCAAACCTCACAAGTTTTGTTTCCTTTGATGCTAAACCACTTTATGGCACATTCTTGATGGGCTAGGGCAAGCTCTCCTCTGCAGTTGCATTCCATTTTAAGGGTATCATCAGCACCTTCCCGCAGTTCCACCATACAGATTCTGCAGACAGCTTCTTCTTCTGCAATATCCTCACCCTCTTTCTGATGATGATTTCCATCTGAAGTGTACACACACTACTCAATGACTATGTTATTTGTGTAATATATACTATCCAAACAGATCATTGATTTTGATGCCCACTAGTTGTGCCTACTTATTTTTTCTTTTAAAATGCTTCAATCCTTTTGTTGGATGATGTGAACCAAGATAAGCTAGCAAGTATGAAGTATCTTCTATACAAGAGATCTCAGAACTCAGATTTACCAGCTTCGACTGTAGGATTCACATTTAGGGTGGGATCAGTTCCTTGTACGACTTTTGGAGTAGTTGGAACTATCCGAAATACACCACCTACAGACTCTATTTCCCCTATGCTTCCATCTTTAATCAAAACAGGAACAGAATGCGAACGATGCATTGGGCGTTGGATCCAACCTTTCTGTAAAGAATTGAATTAAACAGCAGCTAAAGTAAAGGGGTGAACAAAGTCAACAGAAAGGAGGATATAAATAAAAATTTCTTGCAAAACACAAACATATACGTTTATCTGTAATAACCCTTTTAACAGCCTCTAAAAAGTAACTTATCTCTAAAAACCCTTATCACAGAACCCCCATAAATTGCTTCTGATGGTATTTTAAGGACTTAATAAGATTTTAGGACAATCTTGAGGGCAAGAAAAGTCTTTAAACTGGTGTTGGCCTCTAATTAAGAAGAAAAGAGGTAACAGTAATGATTCCCACTACAAACACACTGCAACTACAAGATTTTCTTGAGAAATGGTACCCTCAACTTCTATCAACATGTTTGATATTAAAAAAGATAACATAAATGTATAAGCTCCCAAGATCTAAGGAAAGTATATGGATTAAAGATGTACTTACTTCCATGGTGTTTCTTCCATGCATAGACTCTGGATTCGAGTGAGCAATAGGAGTTACGGGTAAAGATGATGTTCTTTTCGTTCTGGATGCAAATAGTTTTGTAAGAGATAAAGTTCTAGACATTTTAGTGTTCCTTCTCATCTCTGATGGTGAGCCTCCAAGGGCTTGGATTGCAGCCTTCTCAATATCTGAAGTTCTGTTCCTAAATTTGAAGCTCAATTTAGGAATGAGGCTTTTGATGGATGATTTACCTTTAGGACTTGATGGTTCGTTAAATCTGGCATACGCATAAGTAGGGCTACGCAATGGAGAAAAGTTGACTCTTTTTGGAGTTTGTTGTGGTGTTGATGGCATGTTCATCTTCACGTCATCTTTTGCAAAGTTATCAAAGGTTCTTTCTGGTATCTCCAACACCAGGTGTTGTGGCTTTGAATGTTGATCACCTGTAGTGATTTCAGTTATTTCGCAGTTTGTGGCATCTTCACTCATTTCACTTGTTTGACCAACCTACATATATGCCAATGTAACTAGAATCACATGTGAATGAACCCAATTTTATCAAGAAATATCCCTTTAGTATCAAAAGTCCCTCAAATCTCAGAGAAGAGTTCATGTTTGACTACTACTTCTAAACTTCCAAGAATCTTGATTCTCTTTTAGGAGACAAGTATTGGACATAGAAGCTAGAAATGAAGGGGAGTGTGATCAACTGTGCAATATGTTAAAAATTATGTCCATAAAGTTTTGTACAGAATCTTTCAACAGAAACCTGGCAGAGGATCAAGAACACAAGAAAGGGAGATGTTTAACAACATGGAAGTTATCAAAAGATCTCAAAGCATCAAAACCCAATTCCCAGGAACCAAAATATCATTTAATTGTTACATTCACACAAATTCCCATGATCTTATGTGCGTTGAATAAACCATTGTCTGAGTTCTCAGTGTCTCTGTGTGCGTTTATGTGGGAACCCCAACAAAATTTACATCAAAATACACCATCTTTATGAGTAATATTGCACACAAATTCAAAAAAAAAATGGATGAAAATTCTGCAAAAGTCAAAAGAAAATTCAGGAGACTCCCATATCATACAATTCAATTTCATCAACCTATAATCTATACACATAAGTGTGTTCCCTATGCGACTTGCTCTTTTTGTGTGAAAAAACTGAGAGATTTTTCAAGAAACCCTTAAAAGATCTGAAGAAACCCAATTCTTAAAACGACAAAATTGTTGCAGTAATGAAAATTCTCATCATCATATCTCTTATCTGAGCTATTGTTACCTGACTAACCGAGTGAGTGAGTTTGTGTGTTTATGTGTGACACGCAGTCATGGAAACCCACCAAAACTTACATTAAAAGACACCATCTTTTATGGGTAAGTTTTGCACAAATTCAGAAAAAAAGATGAACAAAAAACCCCTCAGATCTTCCAATTCAATCATCAACCTATATCCACAAGTACGTTCCCTACTCCACTTAGCATGTATGATTATGTGAGACACCCTCCAGAATTTACCTCAAAAGGCAGTATTTTTTTGGGTAAAAGTTTGAAATTTGAGAAGAAAAAAAGAGCTCCCAGATCATACAATGCAAAATAAGTAGCAATAACTCAGAGATATTGCATTTGAAGATACCTTATGACTCAAAGGAGGTGGAAGATCACTATTGAGAGCTTCTTTATGATCAGCACTCGCTGTAGCCATTGCTGAATGATTTGGCTTCAATAAGTGAATGTTTTTATATGTACATGTGTATGTATATACATATGCATAGATATGAGAAGCGGTGATGGTGGAAAAATTATGGAGAAACAGAGACGCAAACCCTGTAAAAACCTCTGAAAATGTTGGTAATAAAAAATGGAGAGTGGGAGTTGGATAATTGTGAGCCAACGACATCATCGACCTACAGTCCCGTTTCTGAAATTTTTTTAGGCCCTCAGACGAACATAAAAATAAGGGTCCCATTGCAAGTAATAAGGCTTTTAGTAACCATTTTTATTATCGTTAAAAGTCTGTTTATCATTAGAAAGAGTATATAACAACAATATGTCATCGTTAAAAGGCGTATCGTCAAAGCTCATTTTTCCTGTAGTGACCTTCGGTAATAAATGTTTTTCATTAGTATAAAATTGAGTACAAAAAATGCTAATAATTTACTGAGTAAAAAAATCTTATTTATTTTTATTATAGATATATAAAAGAGTACTTAAATTTACGTACTTTTTATTATGTAATTTTAAACCAAGAGTATATAAACTATGGTTGATAAATTTTTATAAAAAGTAAGAAATTTTTACTTTATAACAAGAAATATGTGTTATTTTAATACAAAAAGAGATTTCGTGTTAATGAAATAAACGTGAGGTCAATGAGAGATAAATAATAAAGAAGGTTATCAAGGTTTTCTAGACAAGTAGACAAATGAAGATCAATAAGAATATGAAAGAAAAGATGATCTATTGAGATCTAGTAAAAATAAATAATGAATTAAACATATAATACGCAAACTCAACAAATGATTGTTTGAGCATTTAAATAGAATCTTGTGGTGTGGTGGAATCTCAATGAAAGATACATAAATCAAACAATTGATAAAAATATTTAAATTCTATTTTCCTTTTTTTTTTTGCTCAACTAAAATAAGATGTTAATATTAAAAGTTTATAGAACATGACATATATAAGAAACATTACTAAATACATCTAGTAGAAAAAATTTATTGATTAATCACAAAACCATGAAACACGTCATAAATCATAAGAACAATAGATTAATTGTAAAAAAARGTAAAATATTTTATGTAGAAGCAAAATTAGATAACAATAGTCAACAAAAACAATTAGAACAACATAACCAAATAGCAATAGTCAATAAAAATAGAAATTAATAAAAATATCTAACAAAAATATATAGCAATAGCAAGCACATGATCTTAATGTTGAATTGTTGAAGCACGAAAATAGTCAAGTATATAAAGATAGCAATAACCAATATCATTGGACCTTGTTGGAGATAAAAAAAAATAGAGGGGTAATAAACAATAGCATATAATAAATAACCAATTAATTTTTTTTTATTTTCTTCTCTAATGTAATTAGTTGATATATTTTTGGGCCCTTATTATCTACTAAATTATTTTTGTCTCTTATTATATGCTACAATTTTTTGATTTCTTTAATTTTAAATTCTTTTAGACTACTATATATTTTAAAGGAAAAAATTTAGGCCCCTGATATTTTTGGGTCCTGGGCATGCGTCCGTGCCACCCTCCCCCAGGGACGGCCTTGTCGACCTCGTACCACGGCAGCCACCACCATGAAATAATATTCCAACACCACAAACCTTTCCTTTCTGACCACCCTACAAAAACCATCCCCCAACTTCACGAGAAGTAATAAAAATTCCTTTTTGGCCAGGAAATTCAAATACGGTGACTCCGGGCTATCCGCAAAGCAGGTGGTCGTCTTGGGATTAGTCGACTCGCATAGTGGGTTGGATATCCATGTTAATAAAAAAAAAACTTTCGTAACCTCAATTGGAGAAAATAAGAGAAATGATTGAATTCTTTAAATTTGAAGTTTTTTTTTAATGATTCATTATAGTAGACAAATGATTTTTAAAGTATTTCCACTGATAAAAATTATTGAAGTAAATTATTTATAAGATAAATAATATTTGATTAAATTACTGGGTATTCTAATAATATTATTAATATTGTAATTTATAAAACAGAAGAGTTGTTGAAATTAAATATAACTGATTTTTAAATTTCGGTTTTGTTTTTTCATCACAAAAAATTTGAAGCATATGTTGTATATGCTCTCAACAACTCATAATTTTTCTAAAATCAATATATGATGTCGATAAATCTTTTAAATGTTTATAGTTGAGTTTCATTTTCATATATTATCGTTCAAACTTAATTTATTTGTTTTTAATGGATAATTATATTTTATTATTAAAAATATTATTTTTCTTCTGTTCTTTTGGCTTCCCAAGCCTGTTTGAAATTTCCCTCCGAACCGTCGAGGATTAGGCGGAGTCAGGACGTTGATGCGGGACATAAAATGGGACCGAGAGTGCATTCGTTGTCGTTATCCGCTCCATTTCCATCCTTAGGTCCATGTCACATGAACCACTAATACCATTTATCTTTGTATTTTAGTTATTTTTATATTCATAGCATGTTTATTATGTAGTTTCAAAAGTGGTGTGTTTTTATATTACACAAAATTAAAGGTTGTTTCAAACATCATCATAAAAATTATACATTTTTCATTTAAACATCAAAACACACCCAATAAAGATAAATTACATAAAGTGAGTAGTTTGACATGCACCTAGTTAAAAACTGCATGACCCTCGTCTTAACCAGGTCGGTTAAGATTCCGTTTATGCTCGGGCTTGTTTACTCGTCTCGTTGTCATCCAAATTGTCATATGGTTGGGAGCACACTTAGGGTCCGTTTGATTTGCATGATTGTTTTTGATGAATTTGGATTTGGATTGGAATTAATTTGAAATCATTTGTGTGTTTGGTTTGTATGATTCAGAATGGAATTGGATTTTATTATTTATAAATAATTTATAGAAAAAAAAATTATAAATAATTATAAGAATAATTGAATTGCATTTTTACTAATCGATTATTACAAAACAAATGTTTTTAACATTTTTTTAAACCTTATTACATATAATCCTACGAAATCCTGAACACTCCCTAAGGATTTCAAAATCCTATATTTGAAGGATTTCAATTAAATCCAAGGATTTCAAATCCTGACAACAACAAACCAAACATGAGATTGTAATGGATTTGAAATGCAAACCCCCCAGATCCATTCAATTCTTTCAAACAAAACCGGATCTCAGGGTATTAAAAAAATCCAAAGTCCAAAAAATCATATGAACCAAATGAGATTCAAGTTAAACGGTTTTTGGGTTATTTGGAAATTCTTAGTAAGACACCATTAATGGCAATCAATAATACAAAATTTGACAAAATTAACAAGGTTTCCAAAATAAACGCCATACTTAAAACCGAATAACCCATAAAAATTTGGAATTGCTTAAAATTACGACATATGAAACAATGAGTAGATCGTCGTGAACAGTGAATCGCAAAATAAGGTTGGGGGCAAGAACATAAAAAGATTGGGATGAATACGAGAGTTAGAGTTAAAAAAAAAAAAATACAGCCACCCGAACACTGGTTTAGATAGCTTTCTTATTATTTATATTATTAAGAGCCACTCAAAACAGATATATATATGTTTAGAAGAAAACAATATTCTTTTCACGTCCAATAGAAAACCAGCTTTATAAAAGTATATCTTTTGATCTATTTACATTCAATCGTATAAAAAACAATAGTTCAGGTTGTAAAAAAATATATACTATTTAATAAATAAATCAATATATTAATTGAATATTTAAAATACTTAAAGAGACCAAACATAGATTAAAGTTATATAAGAAAATAGTAATATGTTTATTTAGAATATTTTAAAATTTTATTATATGCTTTAATTCATTCCCCATTCCCAAAACGAAATTATATGGAGTTGTTTCAAAGCATGCGACACCTTTCTTTCACAAGATTCCTCTAAAAAATAAATAACAAAATTAATTATTATGAAATAAAATAAACACTGTACCATTCAAGTATTTATATATTATATTATTAAATGGGGAGATTATAATTTTCATTTTATTTATTATCAATCCAAAATGGTTGACTTTCTGCAATATAATTGAGGTTGCTTGTAGCTGCCAAAAAGGAGTAGCATATTTTTTATGCTTTCTTCATTAAAAAATAGAGTTTTTTTTAATTAATAAAAAAATTGCATAATAGATAAAATAAAACTTTGGATTAAAATCATATATATGTAAAGGAAAATGAAGAAAAAAGATGTGACAATTTTAAATCATAGACGTTTTCTTTAATCATTAGATCTAAAAGATAGATAGATTTTGTAACCTTATTTCTATAATCATAAGTTTAATTTTGATAAATGTAATTGTCTGTATCTATAAAATTATAATAACTGATTTAGATAAATTTTCTTCTTTTCAGTGTTATCTTTAAATCGAGTTGTATTGTAAGTTCAATTAAGATTATTAGAGTGTTGCCAACAGGTATGCTATATATATATATATATATTATAGATTTCTCCTTCTCTCTCATATTTTTTTTTTTCAATTTTAAAAGAGAATTTAGTATAGTTATTTTTTATGAATTTTAAAAAATAAATAAATAGTATAATTATTAAAGATGTTTTGAGTGATGCATTATTTTCATCTAAGACTGTGGAATCCTCCAATTTGCCCTTTAATAAGTGCAACTCGACCTGGTTTGAATTTAGTGTAAGATCCACTTAATTAATAGATTAATGAATTTTGCAATCACCAATCTATGAGAATTAATTGTTGCCATTATTATATTCCAATTATAATTTACTTTTTATTAAGAGTAAATTACAACTTTAGTCCTTGTCGTTATATTAAATTTTGGATTGAGTCCCTTAAATCACTGTGGTTTCATTTTTGTTATGAATTGGATTTCTCATCTTATCATAACGACGTTAACCTTTAACTTTGTTAAATTAAGAGTGCATTTTGGTCCTTTTGCTTTTTTTTTTCTATATATATTATTTAATACGTTTTATTATTATGTTATTAATCCCAAAATCTGACCCTCACCCTTGAAAACGACGTTTTCCTAGCGATGTCTCCTCTCCCTCTGGTAGGTTTTTCTGATACGAACCAGACATCCTATACCATCTGCCATTGCATATCATCCTCCCACACGGCACACCCTCTA